TTCGTCAGCATTTCACTGCCCCAGCACCTGGCTGTGTGGAGCGGAGTGACTTTACTTCCCTTTCTTCCCTCATCTGGCCCTCAGGATTCTCCACGGAGGTGCGCTGGGGACCATGATAGACTCCACGCTTTTCATGACAGCGTATAACAGTGCCAATGCAGTCTTCACAGGGACAATGACCATCATCTTCAAGAGGTCTGTTTCCTTGCCTGGGTTCCAGTTAGGAATAAGCTGGTAGGGGGTTATTCCATGTGTTATGATGGAAAATGTGGGTTCATGCATCCATCCTGATTGCAAAGAGGAGTTTCCACTTCTGATCTTCACGTGGACCAGTCCAACCTTTTCAGATGTTCCTTTCTCATCCAAGGACAAGGTAACAAGCTTGAAGATGGTTTATGTGTTCAAACATAAAAATATTTTACATAAGATGATGATAAACTATTTTTGGCCACCTCTGGTTTAGAGACAGCTGACCAAGGTACCTGTAAATAGTTAAGTCAGTTCACAAATAATTGCACAAAAATCATTACCCTACTATAATGATAATTCCTTACATGTAATTAGCCCTTTATGAGAACTCTTCCATATACATTATTTCATTTGATCTTTACAATAATCCTGGGAGGTAAGTAATATCATCTCCAAGTTGACGGATAAGAAAGCTGAGGGGAATACATAGCTAGCGGGTGACAAAGCCAGGATCAAATGCAGGAATTGCTGCCTGATTCCAAAGTCCACTTGCTATATGTACAACGCTACTGTGCCTCAGTGGTCTCTTTTTTTTTTTTCTCTTCTCAGTGGTCTCTTGAGGACACACAGGAAAGAGCAGGATATAGCCTCTACCCTCTACCCTCCTAGGAGGGGAACGAGGTGTATCTGTCAGGGATATATATATATACATATATATATATATATATTAAGGCAGGGTGTCGAGGTGGGAACTCTTAGGTAGGAGCTGATGCTGTAGTCTTGAGGCAAAATTTCTTCTTCCTTGGGTTAGCCTCAGTTGTGTTCTTAAGGCCTTTCAACTGTTTGGATGAGGCCCACCCAGATTATCAAAGACAATCTCCTTTACTTCAAGTCAGCTTATTACAGATATTAACCACATCTATAAATACCTTCACAGCAACACCTAAATTAGTATTTAATTGAAAAGTTGGGTACTATAGCCCAGCCAAGTTGACTCATAAAATTGACCATCACACAAGGGATGCTTGCTTATGAATTGATAGAATTCTGCCAAAGATAAAGAAAACCTTTCATGTGTGGATAGAGCTACTTGATATGAAGCAAGTGGGTTCTGTTCGCCTCTGTGGGCAATTCAGACCAGTCAGAACCTGGGGGAACTGTGACCAGAAAATATGTGCTTATGTTTATAAACTTTTAGCCAAAATGTTGCATATGTTTCCTCACTGGGAAGATAGCAGGAAAACAAGAGGTGCTTGGTTTTTCCAGAAGATGGGGAACTGACTTGTCAAAATGTTGATGGAGCGATTTGTGGCTTCCATGAGATGACAAAACACAAAATGCCACACTGCCTGGGCTTGCTCATCTTTCTTCCATTGCTCCTGACAACTTGGCCCTTGGAGTGGAATCTGAGGAGCCCCCTCTGGCAGAGGCACAGGCCACCCACAGAGTCATTCACCATTTCCTGGGAGACCAGCCGGTAAGCCACTCTAACTCCTTGCTCTCTCGTAGCCCGGTCATCCTTGGCTCAGTGGTGAGGCTAGAGGCAAGAGTCACTGGCACAGAAGGAAGAAAGGTGTTTCTTTCTTGTGAAGCCCAGAGCAGCGACAGGACCACCCTCTTTGCTGAAGCTTCTGGTAAAGCTATTAGAATTCTTTTTCCTGCTGTTTGTGCCCATCCTTACGATAAAGACTGTGCTCTTGGAGACTCTTAAAGCCTCTCTTTCAGACTGTGTGTGTTTGGGGTAGAAGTGAATGTTCAAACAGAGAGGAGCCTCCATTAGTTATAGGATGGAGACCATCACAAGACACCCATGAGACCTCTCTGAGAGGCCACTGGGCATAGAGAGGCTTATGAAGGTAGGCAGAGGGCTGGGTGAGGGGGTTATGGTAGCAGAGTGTGCATGGTATCTACCCTCTCACCCCCTACTGGCTTCCAAAAGGCAAAGGTTGGGCTCATTGCTTTGGCATCAGTAGAAGAAAGGATTTTGATATTTCCAGAAGTAGCACTGGCTCCAGGCAGGCAGAAAGATCTCACTGAGCTGGTTTTCCTGGAAGCATGGGTAAGGGCGGAATGGGTCACCTGTGTGCTCTTCACCATTCTAGCCATCTTCTTCCAAATGAAGTGACACGGACACAAAGCACTGCAAGGCTCATCTCCTGCTCTGGTGGCCAAGAGACAGGAAACCAAAGCCCCCATTGGAGCAGATTCTCTCCCTCCCATTCACCTCCAGCTTCCCATGTGTACTTTTACCTGTCCTTCTTGCATGGTGGAAACTCCTCCAGATGTCCAAGCTTTCTGTGAATAAAGTTTTAAGAGGAGGTCATGCACTCAAGTTGAAATATGTGTATTTCTTCGTGGATAGAATGTGTCTACAATTCGTGAGGTGGGAAAGCATCATGTAATCCCATCATCCAACCCAGAACACAAGAGCCACTTGGGGTCCTTGAGGGACTCAACATGTAATTGGGTGAAGTTAGGTCATAGCAGCCAAGTCACCCTTCCCTGACTGCAGATAAAACAGAGAAGCCTTGTCTGATATTAATGACCTTGTTTTGGATTAAAGTCACACAATATTTTCACCAGATATTTTTTCTTTTCTTTTTTCTGAATGCTGGTTTCACAATCAATTTTTCCTTTCTTTTTTAATTCACTCCTCCAACCCTGCCATTAAGTACTGCTCCAAACGCCCCACTCATTTACTGATGGGTAGTGCTCCTTTCACCGGATCATTGTATCTCTGCATCCCCTCAAACATGGGGTGGGGGAGAAGGGGGAAGAGAAGGGACTGTGGGCTCCAGGGTCGTGAATGAGTGTGGCAGGAACATATATGGATGAGGCAAACCCTACAGCTGCCATTAAAAGCCAGCCCATTTCTTCTGAGCCCAGAGCCAAGCAGGTACACCTGTGAGGGTGAGGCAGTGAACAGCAACTGTCACTCTAGGTCCCACCTCTGCTCTCACCCCCAGGGTGGCCAAGAGCAGCCTCTGAAATATGCCAACCCATGATTTCTCAAAAGTAGAAATTCTTGCCTTATGCGGGGTTGGGGCAATTAGGTCTTCCTTTTAAAAGAAGTTTTAGCATAGTCATCAACATTGCACAAAGAAAATGAGCCTTGTATCTTAGAACAATAGGTAGCAAAGTATTTAATCGCTAGGTAGGTTTGTATTTTTAAAACTGTTTTCTTAATCTCCTCAGGAAATAAAGGGGCCAACTTCTGGTACCTCAGCAGCACACAAATGAAACCTTAAAAAAAAAATTACCTTGCTCCCTAAATCATCAGTGTCCTTTTCTGACCTAGAGTTTCTGTGTAAAGAATGGATGGTGAAAAGTAGTAAAGGAATAAAATCTTAAGTCCCCCAGCCAACTGAGTGGACCCCCTCTTGGCCAAGGGGACCCCAGTAATACCAGAAAGCTGAGTTGCTGGCCATGAGAAGGGAGGTCAGACATGCCTCATCATGCCCCCCACCCTTTTTGGAGATATCCTTTGTAACTCATTAACAGGCCTAAAGACAAAGCTTAAACCACACCTGGTGGGCATCAATTTACTTAACAGATCCCTTAAGTGTGGGTGGCTTATCTCTGATTAACAAACTTCCTCAACTTAAATCTTTCCAAGCCTTTAGACAAAGCTTCTTTTCTTTAACCAATTACAAATCAAAGAATCTTTAAACCCACCTATAACCTGTAATTCCCGGTTGGAGATGTCCTACCTTTTTGGGCCAAACCAGTATTCGCCTTCCATGCATTAATTTATGACTTTATGTGTAAGTCCTGTCTCCCTGAAATGTATAAAACCAAACTGTAACCCAACCACGGTGAGACCACTTGCTCAAGGCTTCTTGGGCATGGCTCTCTGGGCCGTGGTCACACATATTCTGAATAAACCTCTTTAAATTATTTAAATTATTTTACAGAGTTTAGGTTCTTTTTCACTGACGCTATGAAAAGTTCAAACTTTATTCTGCAGATTCCCAGGGCCACTGAAAGTGTGTGCCTGCGTTTCCGACAGGAGTGTCAGGATCGTAGCGGTAATACTTTTCTGTGGACCAGCCAGACATGCAAAATGAGAAGTTGGGAACCCACAAAAGCTATCGACAGAGTCCAGATGAGCCATAAACTAGAATTGTAACCATCGACCAGCGTTGTCCAATAGAAATATGTGGGCCACATGTGAAATTTTAAATGTCCTAGTAGTCACATTACAAAAGTAAAAAGAAACAGGTGAAATTAATTTTAATAATGTATTTCATCTAACCCAAATATACCCAAAATATGTCAACATACAAAAATTATTAAGATAGTTTACCTCGTAAGTCCTAGATACCTGCTGTGTGGTTTATACATAAAGTACATACACATTCCTACGCTAAATTTTCAAGTTTAAAGGGAAATGTGGTCCCATCAAAACAATATAGTCATGCCAGGCGTGGTGGCGCCCCGCCTGCAGTCCAAGCTACTTGGGGAGGCTGAGCCAAGAAGATCGCTTGAGCCCGTGAGTTCCCGGCTGCAGTGAGCTATGAACGCGCCACTGCACTCCAGTCTGGGTGACAAAAGGGAGACCCTGTCTCAAAAAAGTCGTGTGTAACATGAAAACATTGCACACTGCTTCAGTTTTTCATATAAATTAAGCCCTGGGCGTAGGGAACCGCGGACCCTGCAATTCCGGGCGTTTTCACCAGGTGGCGTTAGGAGCGCTCACCAGGCGCCTGCATAGCGTCCCACCCCGGAAGCGAACCCCCCCCCGCCCCTTCCACCTGGTCCCTCCGGCTTCCTCCACCCGCCGGCGCACAGAACCTAACCTCCTCTGGTGTTAAAGCCCGGGGTGGGGCAGGATGGGCTGGAATGCAGAGCTGTGGAGTCCGCGGGGCGGGTGAAGAACGGCGAGTAACTGTTCCTGGGGCAGGACCGTTCGGCGTCCGCAGCCACACGCGGGCCGTGGGCCCACAGCCCCAAGACGCGCAGGTCTGGACCCGGGCGGCTGGGTGTTTACGGGTGCAAACGTCAGCGAGCCCCCGGACTAAAACGCGGCGCCTGGCTGCCGCTGTCCCCTGGCCTTCTCCTTTCAAGGTCGCCAGGGCCAGGCCTGAGCGCCCATCGACTGCACCCTGGGCCCAGAGCACTCGCGGGCATCCTCTCCGATGATTCAGAAGTCACGGCCCGCGCTGCTGCAGCCCCAAGATGTCGGAGACACGGTGGAAACGCTTATGGTGAGTAAACTGCGGGGAAGGGAAGGCAGGGGTTCCGGGACCTCCGGCTCGGGAAGGGAAATTTAGGAGGTTGCTAAGGGTCAGGAACCCTCGGGGGACCTTTAGCGCACCCCAGATGCGGGCAGGGTTGGGGACTTGGCGGGAGAGATAGAGTTTAAAGGGATTAGAAAAAGGACGGGGAGGCAGGAGGTAGAAGAGAGGGGCTGCACCCGAACCCTGGAGACAGGCAAGCTGGATTGGTGTCTGGGTACAGAGCTGCGGAATTGCCGGGGCCGGAGCGGTAACAGGGGGGCGTGTCAGGGGAGTGTGCGCGGCCTCCGCGAGATGCATGGCTGCCGGACATTGCGTGCAGTGGGTTGCCTGGAGAGAGAGGTGGGAAGGCACCTGGCAGATCTTTGGGCTATCGCAAGGTCGGGTAATAGCGCGGAGTCTGAGGATCGTCGGTGCCTGAGCTGGCCCCAAACCGCTGAGCGCCCCGTGGCAGCGCCGGGAGGCCCGCAGGCAGGGCGGAAGGCTCCTTCTTAGTCCCTAGCTTCCGCCCGGCCGCGACCTGGGGAGGAACTCGAGCGATGCCGCGCCCCTCCGGCGTCCGGATTGGTTGTTGTGGTCGGGCCGCCGGGTGGCCATTGGCGGAGGCGGGGCTGGTTGGCGCGTATCCCGGAGGTTGGTCTGGCACAGTCTTTGCTGTTGGTGGGTGCAGGTAGGGGTGCGGCCTGGCCTCGGACGGGGAGGGTCCTGGGCCGCTGCGGCCGCAGCTTTCTCTCTGAGGTCTGCCTTGCGCCCCGGGGTAGGTGGGTGGTGGCGGTATAAGGACTATTTTTTTCTTTTTAAAATATCCTTAAAGGGGAAGGCAGCGGCTCTAAGTTGACATCTTTGAAAAGCTGCTTACTTTTTCCTCTTTCTGAGCCATCCAGCTCTCGCCTCCATATCTGAATTTCAATGAGAGACAATGTTTTGTACGATATGAAGTTACCAATGTAAAAAAGAAAACAAAAAATGGAATGAAAATACAAGTAGTGATAAATGTATTAGGAACTACAAAGTATCACATAAATTTTTCATTAATATTCATTGAATTAATTTTAGAAAACCCAACCAAATCAATACTTTTTAGTCGTTCCATACTCCTCTCAGGATAAAGTTCAAACTGCTGGTTTGCAAGGCCTTTCATAAATCATGCAGAGCTCCTCCTTACCTTTCTGACCTATGCTCTCACCCTCCCACTAACACGCTCTTGGCCATAATGAAAGTCCTTCATTGTCTCTCATTGAAAAGTTTTGCACCTGGAAGCAGTGTGGTCGGATTTGCAGTTTTATAAGATGGCTCTGGCTGCAGGGTAGAGAGTGGCTTAGAGGGGTCACAGAGATGCGATGAAGAGGTGGTAGCAGTCACCAAGGCAAGAGATGGCAGGACTCTGAGCCAGCATTGATTTCAGAGCTGGTTAGGAGGTGGAATGAGCAAATGTGGACAGGCCATCAAGGATGGTGCCCAGATTTCTGGCTTGGGTAGCTGGATAGATAATGGCAAGCATTCACTGGGATAGGGCACCCTAAAGGAGGAGCAGGTTGGAGGCAAGGGACGGAGCAGAGTTCAGGTTTAGAAATACCATCTGAGGTGGCTGTGGGACATCTGAGTAAGTGGCTATGTGGTGTGAAGCTCCAGAGAGAGGCTGCAAGTGTCGATAGAAGGATGGAAATGGAAGCTGTGGGGGCATGGTTCAGGGGAGCATTTCCATTTAAAGGAGGAGAGGCCAGAGAAATGGAAGGAAAACCAGGACGGTATTAATCTCTGAAGCCAAAGGAAGAGAGCATTTCAAGGATTGAGCTGTGGTCAATGGTAGAGTGTTCCTGTGTGGCCTGAGAAGTGTCCTGGATTTAACTTTAGACTGGGGGGTATGGTGAAAAGAACATGAACTTTCAGCCGTGGCCGATGGCTTCAACCCTTGTGACAGGACACATTTGTAACCTCCGAGCTTTGGTTTAATCTGTAAAATGGGTTTAAAACGCCTAGCTTAAAGGGTGGTGTGAGATTTTGAGCTGGTGTGTGTAGATGCCTCGCCCAGTGCTGCTCTGGGAGCAGAGTGGAGGGTAAGTTGGCACAGTTGATCCTGGACACCACAGAGGTGGTAGGGATGGATGGGGCAGGGGCAGACTAAGAGGACTGAGGCCTCAATCAGGGGGACTGGGTCATGAAGCAGCAGGCATGGCGAATTCTACATGTCTCCCAGGTTTCTAGCCTGGGGACTTGGAGTATCCCAGTGTGGATTGGAGAAGAGGCGGTGTGTGGAGAACTATTGACCAAGTTTCTGCTTTGGACGTGTTGAGTTTGAGATACCTGTGGGCCACTCCAGGGGAGACGGAGGCCTTGGGATATTGGAGTCTGGGGAGAGGCAGGACTGCAGAGAGATTTGAGCGTTACCAGCACGTGTGTGAGACAGGTGGGTGAGGCTGCCCTGAGAGGAGATAAGAGGAGCAGCCCTATCTGCGGGGCAGGCAGAGGAAAGGGGACTTGAAGGGCAGTCAGGAGAGGAGAGAAGAGAGAGAAACCAGAGACCCAGAGGAGCTCAGCCACACGCAATGCACCAGAAAGGCAAAGTAAGACAAGGACAGGGACAGGGAAGGGGTCTTGGGATGCGCAGGTCCTTGGTGAGCCCTCGTTAATGGAGATTAGCCGAGGGCAGACTGGGGGCCCTGAGGAGTGACTGACCCAGAGTGAATGGAGATGGTGTAGCATCGGTCTGGAAAAACAGAGGGTCTGGAGCATGTTTCCCAGCAGAAGAGGAGTTGCCAATGGGAGATAGGCCCAGCGTGTGGGGAAGCAGGGCTCACTGATGCCACAAAGTCTAGGAAGAGGCCAAGAAACACAGAACTCCTGAGAATATTGGTTAGCAGAGAGCGGGGTACCTCTGGGGAAGAGGGAGTTGATGCCAAAACAGACCTGTCAAAATATGCACACTTCGTTTGGTTTTACCTGTTGTCTTATCAAACCACCCTGTGATACTTTAGAAGCTATTGGAATGTGGTTGTAAGCTCCAGTATTTAATATCTGAGCTTAGTCTGCTCCCAACAGTCTTGTAGGGAATTACAGTTATAACTTGCTCCTTGCTTGAAACTTGGAATGATTTCTCTTCTCTGTGAGGCAAATACCACAGGTTACAAACATTTCAGTTCTGGGTAAGTAGTTATGTGATGTGTATAATGGGAAACTTTATATTCATCTTAATGATTTAGGGCTATAGTATGTCATTTACTAAAAAATAACAGTGCAAATGCCACTTAATAAGGGAAGAGAAGGTCTTTTTGGCTGGAATTTGCCAAAGTTTGAGAAGACGGCTTTTCTTCCTGGTTGGATTTTTTAAAGTGCCTTTTCACAGTCATTTGTGATTCTACTGGGTTCTGGGGGCAAGGAAGGAGGACCCTGTTCTGTAGTGGCAACACCAGTGCTAGGAGCCGAGGTTCCTGGAATGTGCTTGGGGGAGGTGCATTTAGTCTTTGAAGTTCTACCCTGCTGAGTGGTGCCTGTAGATTAGGCAGCACAAGTGACAGTGTGTGGGTTGAAGGAGAGGCAGCAAACCCAGGACACCGGTCTTTAGAGCTGTCTGATTTGCTTAGGTCTTAGGTGTAAGAGAAGGGGAAGATTTTAAACAAAGGAAATGTATAGATTATACAGGAAGTGGTACTTATTTGTGGCTGAGCTTACTGTTTCATTTGCTTTGGCTTGCTCCAGTAAATACCTACAGGTCCTGCAGCCAAAGGAGCCTGGAAACCAATAGTTAAAACACTACGTTCAATTGATTTTGCTTTTGCAACGATAAGGAGGTGACCAGTAACTTTTGGAGTCAGGACAAATGGGGAAGTGTGGTTGGTGGTACAGAAATAGACAGGTTGCTCAGTGGGAGCACAATTATTAGCAATACTGAGACCAGGGAGATACCTCAGCAACATTCTAGATTCCAGTATTGTTCATTTCTGGCTACATTTTTTCCTTCTCTGATGTATGAAGATAACATGAGGCATGACCGGGTGAGTTTCTGAGAGATACTTATAAAGGAATTCACTGGTCCAGCTGTGGAGAAAGGTGAGGCTTGCTCAGGCAGAGCTGCTGACACGATGTTCTCTCGTCCTGCAGTTACATCCGGCGATCAAGGCTTTCCTGTGTGGCTCCATCAGTGGGACCTGCTCTACACTCCTTTTCCAACCTCTGGATCTCCTTAAAACACGCCTGCAGACTCTCCAGCCCTCAGACCATGGGTAGGGCTTGCTGCCCACATTTCATTCAGGATCTGCTTTCAACAACTTCTCGTATTTGTTTTTTGTTTATTAAATGGGGTCCTTTCCTAAGCAGCCCCCTGGGATCTGTCTTGGTGGCATTTGCATTTTATTGTGCTAGCTTGTGACGTTATAACAATATTGCCTGGTAGGAGTCAGTGGGTGGTTTTCTGGAAATAACACCAGTAATGATTGTCTGTTTTGTGTCCCCCACTCCTGTATTGAGCTGTGCACTTTGGGAAGTATACAAAATATATATAAAATGGGTGGTTATCCCATTGCTTGTAGTGTAAATGGACAATTAAACGTGTGTACCAAACCATGGACACGCAGGAATTCAGAGCAGTTCCAAGATATGTTGTAGAGATTCTTAAGTGTTCTAAAAAAGAGTCTATACAAAGAATCTTTGAGGCTGCACACGGTGGCTCATGCCTGTAATCCTAGCACTCTGGGAAGCCGAGGCGGGAGGATCGCTTGAGCTCAGGAGTTTCAGCCTGAGCAAGAATGAGACTCATCTCTACTAAAAATAGAAAAATTAGCTGGGCATTGTGGTGTGCACCTGTAGTCCCAGCTACTGGGGAGGATGAGGCAGGAAGATCACTTGAGCCCACGAGTTTGAGGTTGCAGTGAGCTATGATGATGCCGCTGCACTCTACCCAGGGGAATAAAAAAAAAATCTTTGGGTGGGGAATTCTTTTATGAGGAAGTGATCTAAGTGATTTTTTTCTTCCCTGTTTCCTTCTTCTCTGCCTTCAGGTCTAGACGAGCTGGGATGTTGGCTATACTGTTGAAGGTGGTTCGCACAGAGAGTCTTCTGGGCCTTTGGAAAGGGATGTCCCCTGTAAGCTGCTTTCTGGGTCTGGGTTCTCTTGCACTTACTCCTTTTATAACCAGCCATTTGTCATCCACCTCACCAGCTCTTAAGGATCTGAGAGAGAAGGATGGGAGTACCCACGTGGGCTTCCTGCCCATTTCTCACACTATCACTAACTTCTGTCTGAGAGCTTAGGGAGTGTTGCATCTGTATGCCTTAGATAAGATTTTGGAGTACAGCATAGTCTCTACAGTGGGTGCAGCTGGCACCCCCACCCATCAGGATATCCTTGCCCTTCCCACTCCAGTGAAAGCAGGCTGAGACTGCCACACTTGAATTTCTTTGCCCAAAGGCTTTTTCTAGTCTTAGGGACTCACTTTGCTGGAAGGAAGCACCAAGAAATTAATGTCCACCCCAAACCCACAGCAGTCCTCAACCACTGAAAGATGAGATTGATGTTCAAAACCTACTCCTTCAGGGGGAGGGGTAACTCTGAGGTGTGTTTTGCACTGATTCCCAGAGTTCCCCAAAGGGATTAAGTTGCCCACAACAGTAACTGGTTTTTAGGTAATCAGTAAATGCCCTTTATTGACTGCATTCCCTCCCATCTCACTTCCCTCACTCTGCTATTGGTATTCCCTCCACATCTTAAATAAAGTACTTGCATGCAAGTCATCTTGGGGTCTTTTGGGAAAACCCAGCTAACACAATATCTTACACTGTTGGGTCTTTTGATTTCTTTTTTCCCTGCTGACTTTTTCTGCAGTCCATTGTGCGATGTGTCCCTGGTGTTGGAATCTACTTTGGCACCCTCTACTCTTTGAAGCAATATTTCTTGCGAGGCCATCCTCCCACTGCCCTGGAGTCAGTCATACTGGGGGTGGGCTCTCGCTTCGTTGCAGGAGTCTGCATGTCGCCTATCACTGTGATCAAGACACGTTACGAGGTGAGTTTGACTGCTTTAGGGCCTCAGGGTGGTTTAATGGAGCCACTGGGGTCTTGGGTAGTGACCACTGATGTCAACTTCGAATTTAGAATCTAACATAGAGTCCAGTGTGGTCAGAGAACCAACTTGCGTAAGCAGGCCAAGCCGTATGTGAACTAGAGCCCACAGTGCTCTGGTAATGCCACATCACCTGCAGTCTGCTTGGTTCAGTGCTCGAGTAGAAGGTCTCCGTGCCAGTCACTGGTTCTGTGCTCCCTTTGCAGAGTGGGAAGTATGGCTATGATAGTATCTACGCCGCCCTGAGGAGCATCTATCGCAGCGAGGGGCACCGGGGCCTCTTCAGCGGCTTGACAGCAACTCTCCTTCGTGATGCGCCTTTTTCAGGAATCTACCTGATGTTTTACAACCAGACCAAAAACATAGTGCCTCACGGTACGGATGAAGGAAGGTGTGGTGGGAGAGAGATATCCCTGGGATGTCAGATCCTCACTGTTTTATCTGGGATATGAGAATATTTGTTTTTCTTAGCAGTTCCAGACTCTTAGCAGAGTTTTAGGAACTGAGCCATACCAGGATTGTGTCAGGACCTAGGCTGGGTGCTGAGATGCAAAGGTGGATGTGACTGACTTGGTCCCTGCCCTTTGGAGTTGACATCCTATTGAGGCAGAGAGTACCCACACTGCTATAATTTGGCGGTGGGGATAGCGTGGGTGGGAGGGAAATAAAGCATGTTTTACAGAGGTCTTGCAATAGTACTTTCCAAATTTGATCTTAAGATTGCTGGATCTCATCCAAGGCCTCCTAGATGACCAACTTTGGGGTACAGTCTAGGAGTCTGTATTTTTCAGGAAGCACTTGATGTGATTCTTGTCAGACAAGTTTGGGAAACACTGATGGGTTAGGAGTTTGAAGAAAAATACTATTTTTACCTCCCTTGCTGTATTCCCAGTTAATGTGGTTTTGAGCCCTCCATTTGGGTAGAGATTATGGTGCCAAACCCCAGACCCACTCCACCCCTCCGCGCCAGTAAGCTTGTGTTGGGCTAGACACAGGCAAAATCAATGGGTGGTAAACATCCACCCAAGCAGAGCAAGGTGTTGCTAGAAAAACTTCCCATAGAATGAACCCGCATTTAGTAAGGTGTCTGGATAATTTGAGCAAGGAATTGCTACCAAGTTGATTAGGAAAGTTGGAGTGCTTTTACTGCTTTTCCCCAGGCACCAGAAGGTGTAACTCTGCAGGTCGCAGCCACATTGTCAAATTCAGGAACTTAACATAGATACAGTTCTGTAATCTATAGTCTGTATTCTGATTTCTCTAATTGTCCCAATAATATACTTTGTAGCAATTTTTGTCTTTTAATTTTAAGAGTATAAGCCAGTTGTACCTCAGTATGAGTTTATCTGATGTTTCTTCATGATTGGATTCAGTTCTACATTTTTAGCAAGGGGACCACAGACATGGTGTTGTGTCCTCACTGCCTTATATCAGGAGGCAAACCTATGGCTTTGGGGCCACATGTGGCCTTCTGGATCCTTGAGTGCAGCCTTTTGACCAAATCCAAATTCTACAGAACAAATCCTTTTAAAAAAAAATTCAAAATTATCTTCCCACAAAGATATACTTAGTTGAGTTTTCAGGGAACACTCCCCTTAATAAAGGGGTTCTCTGAAGTTTGAATTCAGTTGAGGGGCCGCACTTATGGATCTGGAGGGCCACACGTGGCCTTGAGGCCGCAGTTTCCTCACCCCTGGCACCCATTGTGAGTGTTAATAACATTTTATCACTTATATAAGGTACTGTCTGCCAAGTGTGTCCCCTGAAAACTCAACTAAGTGTATCTTCGCAGGAAGATAATTTTGAGTCTATATAAATATCAGGTTTCTTTGACTCACGTATTTTTGCATAGGTTAATGATTCATGCCTAAGTCAGTTATTATGGTGGTGGTTGTAAAAAGGTGCTTTTCTAACTCCATCATTCCATTTACATTTATAACTGCATGTTGCCTTTGTTTTATTTCAGACCAATTGGATGCAACCCTTATTCCTGTTGTAAATTTCAGCTGTGGGATATTTGCTGGTATTCTGGCTTCACTGGCAACTCAACCTGCAGATGTTATCAAAACTCATATGCAGCTCTCCCCAGTGAAGTTTCAGTGGATTGGCCAAGCAGTGACACTCATCTTCAAAGTAAGACTGTAGAATAAGTATTGGTTCTTGTGCCTTAGGATCTCTCTCTCTCTCTCTAGAGCAGTAGTTCTCATCCTTCGTGCACATTAGAATCACCTGCAGAGCTTTTAAAAATACCCATTCCCAGGTCAAAATCTAGGCCAATTATATCAGAATTTCTAGGGGGTGAAGCCCAACATTCCTTTTTAATGCTCTCCAGTGATTCTGATGTGTTGCAAAAAAAACCTGTTTTTTGAGGAGAGGAGGCTCCTATATTTGTGATATTTGTTAAACATGCAGATTGCTGAACTCTACCTCAGACCTACTGTGTAGGACCTAGTACTCTAATAAAAGACCTAGGACAAAATACTGTGTTCGGGGAAAAAACACAAACACATTGTTTTGTTCTGGTAGTTTGTGCTCATACAAATGGACAGAGATGGTATTATTGAAGATAAAAAGGGCACTAAAATACTATTTATAAACCACTGGGTTGGTCCTTTTGGAACACAAAGCAGGTATTCTTGTTAGAGATAAATAATGAATTTGTGAATCAGTATTCCTCACACTATTTAGGTTCTTTTTCTATACCTAAAATCATAAAGTTTCAAAATAATATATTCTTCGGTTTATGTGAATTACAAATCAGTCAAGATTATGAGGGAGGAGGAAAGAGGTTTTTGGTCTTTAATTCTTACAAAGCTAGGGCCACCAAGAGCATACAGTGAATTGCAAGAAGGTATTCTTGATAGACAAAGGGCAAGAAGGCACCGTTTCCTTCAGCCTGGATCCAGGACCCAGGCTTTCGCAAGCAGACCTCTGTCTGCGTGTCATCTACTACTGGGGCTGAGAGCTTCTGTGCAGTGTACAAACTGTACAACTGTACACAGCCCTGCATAAAGATTTTTCAGCTAAGAAATTCCCCTAAGATGGCAGGCCTAAAAAGGTAAAGCCTAGCAACTATACACAAAAAAATTTATTTTAAGTTCATTGATTATCTCGTTGGACCCATTATGTATAGTTTTGGCATATAGTTTAGAGACTAAGGCTCAAACATAGGGTAACAGACCTTCACTCTGGTGCCAAGTGATTAATTAATTGTATCACTGCTTTGCTTCTGAAGTTTTGACATTTATTTTCATCATAGGACTATGGACTTCGTGGCTTCTTCCAAGGCGGTGTCCCCCGGGCCCTCCGCAGAACCCTGATGGCAGCAATGGCATGGACAGTATATGAAGAGATGATGGCCAAGATGGGCCTGAAGTCCTGACCAAGAGACCACTGGGAAAGGGTGGAATCTATTGCCCTGCTTGGTTTCTGCCAATGGCTGCTGCTCATCACTATCCTGCAGTAAGAGGTAGTTCTATCTGGAAACCAGGCAGAAAATGGCATTGCCTTTGCCTTCAGTAACCCCATTCAGGGAGAGAATAGATGAACCTGATTCAAGCCTTCAGAATCTCCCAGAAGAGGAGTCATCAATACACACAGCACACTGGGGAGTTAGGAAAAAGCTTTGCATACCCTCAAGGCTACTTGCAAAGGCGTTTCTGGGGAGAGCTCTATCAGGTAGCTCTGATTCAGCTTCCCCACCGTACACCGTGGTGCCTCGTTGGGGATGTTCTTGGGCAAGGAATCACAAAGCCTGAGAAGCTACAGCTGGGGAAGACTGGATCTGAGGGGAAGAGTCATTGTCACCAGGCTGAAGACTCTGAGGTGGTGGCAGGATGAGGAAGAAAAGAAATCCTTACTTACTGGGTTCCTAGTCAACTTCTCAGAGGCTCTGGAGAACGGGGATAGTGGCTTCCTAGTTTCTAAATATCCAAATAAAATTTTTTGATTTTGGTCCCTGTACTGTTTAACCTCTAAGTTGTTCTGACATTTTTTTTCCACCTAAAGTTCAAATAAAGTGAAGTACTTTATTGTTGAAAGTTGTTGGGAAAACCTAAATAGTGCTATTGTTCTATTTTAAAATAACAAAATAGTTCTAGGGTGGCTGGCTCTAGACCTATATAGGTCCCTAAAATCTAATTTTTTTTAAACATCCTTATTTTACATATTATAACAATTTACCTATTTCAAGTATACAGTGATTTTTACTGAATGGTGCAGCTATCACCATAAATCAGTTTGAGAATATTTTCATCCCCCCGTAAGATCTCTCCAATAATTAATCCTCACTCCCAGGCCAGCTCACCACAGATCTACTTTCTGTCTTTATAAATTTCCCTTTTCTAGATACTTCATATAAGTGGAATCATACAATATGCAGTCTCTTGTGTCTAGCTTCTTCTACTTCGCATAATGTTTTTGAGGTTCATCCATGATGTGGCATGTACAATACTTATTTGTTATGGCTGAATAATATTGTGTGTATTATACTGTATTTATCCATTCATCAGTTGATGAATATTATGGTTGTTTCTACTTTGGGACTATTACGTATAATGCTGCTATAAATATTCATGTACAAGCGTTTGTGTGGACAGATGTTTTTATTTCTCTTGAGAATATACCTGGGAGTGAAATTGCTGGATCATGTGGTAACTCTGTGTTTAACACTTTGAGGAACTGCCAAACTTTTCCAAGGTGGTTGCACCATTTTACATTCCCAGCCACAGGATACGAGAGTTCCAGTTTCTGCACATCCTTGTTATTGTCTGTCTTATTTTTTATAGCCATTCTAGTTGGGTACTCAAGTTTTTTCTTTCAAATTTAGGAAAGAGCCATAACTTTATCCAAGCAGCAGAAGGGGGGGATGTTTGGTTAAGAACATGGGCTTTAATCCAGGTGGCCAGGTTAAAAGTCTGCTCTCCACTTACTTAGACATGATCCTGAAATTGTGCCTATGAAATGGAGATAATAATATTTCCTACCTCCTAGGGTGGTGGTGAGGGCTAAATGTTTCTGGAACGTATGTTGTATTTGCCTCATGACAACAGAAATTTATTCTCTCAGTCTGGATCATGCTCTCTCGGAAGGCTCTAGGGAGAATCATTCTTTGCCTGTTCTACCTTCTAATGGTTGCTGGCAATCCTTGGTGTTCCTTGGTTTGTGGATGCATCACTTCAATTTCTGCCTCTGTCTTCACAATGCCTTTTCCCCAGTGTGTCTGTGTCTGTTTTAAGGACACCAGTCATTGGATTAGGACTCATCTTAACTCAGTATGACCTCATTTTAACTTGCTTTCATCGGCAAAGAGCCTATTTCCAAATAAGGTCACATTCCCAAGTATTAGGGGTTAGGAATCCAATGTATCTTTTGGGGGGGATACAATTCAGCCTATAACATACATATTAAGTTTGCTTAATGATTTGTAGTAAAGTTTATATAATACTTTAGGTTTTAGGATAAATTGCGCTATTCAAAATAATTTAGGGGAATGGGAGTGGGTGAAGCAGGTCCTAATCTCGTGGTGGCACCTGAGCCACCTGTGCTGTGACCTGCATGTTGTGAGACCTTGTGCTGGGGGAAGCAGGGGAGCACTGAGGACTGGAAAGGAGGGAAGGCAGGATGGATGGAGTGGCTGCCTCTGAAGGACTTCTGTTCCATGCCCTGTCTAGGGCCTCTTCAGTCTCCACTGACCCTCATTTGGGAGCCCAGGGAGCCTAATACCAGAAAGGCCTCTGGGAGAGGACGGGCATAGATGAGACTGGGAGGTGTGGGCTTCTTCCCAATGCAGATTTGCTCTCCTTACACTTGGCAGGTGAATTTCGGCCACCAGAGTCCCCTTACATGATCTTCATTTGGTTTTTTGGCAGGTGGAGAAGGGGGACATATAAATTTAGGAGAAATACTCTATATTAAAGCTCAGAAAGGAAGTAGCTAGTGAGCTCTAGCTGGCTTTGGAAACTGCCCACTGCTTGCTTGCATTTTTTAAAAAATATATAATTTTTTCTTGGCTTAACAAATTATTTAGAGGTGGGGTTTGTGGGAGGAAAACAGTCATCTGGTAACTAAAGATAAGGCAGTGTAGGGCAGGAGCCAAAAGAAGACATAGAAGCAAAGGTTTCAAGCTGCATTATATGTACTTTCTAAAACATTATTATGAAATATTTCAAACCATCACAATAGTGGAGCAAATGGTATATTGGCCCACCATTCATATCACTTGGATGGAACAGTTGGCAAGATTTCACCACACTTGCTTGTCTCCCCTAACTTTCTGCCACCCCCACCTCTGTTTCCTTTTATGAAGCTTTTAAAGGCAGATGCCACACCTCACACCGTTTCACCCTTCCTTACTCCAATATAGCTCTCTCAAACTTACAGACATTTTCTGATATAAGTACAATGTCATTACCCTACCTGGAAAAATTTAATAAATTTTTTACATATCATCTATATTCACATTTTCCTTATTTCGAGAATAATTTTTTTTTCACAATTAGTTTATTTGCATCAGAATCCAAATAAGATCCACACATGGCATTTGGTTTTTTAAATCTCTTTAATCCAGGACAGCATCTGCTCTCCCCACTTTTTTGTTCCATGTTGTCCTTGTAGAGATCAAGGAAAAAATTTTCTTCACTCTCTGAAAGTTCACTGGAAATCAACTGACAAAGGCAGAGTAACAGGAGAAAAGGCATACGAAATTTTATTTTAATGTGCATAGCATGGTGAAATTGCAGAATGATTACCCGATAACCCAACGGGATACAGAGGCTTACATACCCTTTTTCATAGGGAAGTGGAGAGATGGGGAATATAGACAATTCTTTTCAGGAGCAGCAAATGATTACTGCTGTTAATCGTTTGAGACTTAATGGATAGAAATCGACTTCAAATGATTCTCCTTGGAATTTTTTTTTTGTGAGACAGAGTCTTGCTCTGTCACCCGGGCCAGAGTACAGTAGTGTCATCATAGCTCACTGCAACCTCAAACTCCTGAGCCCAAGTGATCCTCCTGCCTCAGCCTCCTGAGTAGCTAGAACTACAGGTGTGTGCCAACACACCAGGCTAATTTTTCTATTTTTTTGTAGAGACAGATGGGGTCTAGCTCTTGCTCAAGCTGGTCTAACTCCTGGCCTCAAGCTATCTTCCCGCCTTGGCCTCCCAGAGTGCTAGGATTATAGGCATGAGCCACCAGGCCTGGCCTAAATATGTACAAATCGTAGAATAGCTAAATCAAGCTATTTAACATACATATTACTTCACATACTTATTATTTTCTGGTAAGAACATTTAAAATCTACTCTCTTAGCAATTTTCAAGAATACAAGGCTGGTCCGAAGGTAGTGAGTTATCTCACTTGATTGTTCACAGTCAGTTACAGATAGAACTTCTTGTTCTACTACTTTCCCCCCTCACTACTGCACTTGATTAGTCTTAAAAAAATAAAATTCAATACATCGTTATTAATTATAGTCACCATGTTGTACAATAGAGCTCTTGAACTTACTCCTCCTGTCTACTGAATAGCCATCTTTTATTTGACCTTGTTTGGTAAATCTGTGGAAACTTGCCAGCTTTCAGCCAGAGTCTAAAGTTCTTCAGTTTCAATCATCAGATTCATTCTTCTGGTCTAGAATCTGCTCTGAGGACAGAACCCATGGCCATTGCTGATAATTTTCAAAGCAATGAGAAACTTGTAATCATCCATTTGATAAGATACTTGGCTGTTACTCTTGAATTTTGTTTTGCTGACTGGCCCATGGTTCTTCAAAAAGGTCGTAAACTGGGCGCAGTAACATGTGACTGTTAGTGCCAAGTACTTGGGAGGCTGAGGCAGGAGAATCACTTGAGCTCGGGAGCTCAAGACTGAAGTGAGCTACGATCACACCTGTGAATACCCATTGCCCTCCCGTCTGGGCATAGTGAGACCCTTTCAATCAATCAATCAGGTCACAAACTGTGTTAGCTTAGAAAGCACATTTCTTTGTTATTTGCCTTAACCCACAATAAGAAATAGCTGTTGTATTTCACCAAATCTAATGCACTGAACATAAGATGTACCATTATTTTATGTCATCAAAAAAAGAAACTACTGGGCCGGGTGCAGTGGGTCACGCCTGTAATCCTAGCACTTTGGGAGGCCACGGCAGGAAGATTGCTTGAGTTCAGAAGTTTGAGACCAGCCTGGGCAAGAGCAAGACCCCCATCTCTACTAAAAATAGAAAAAATTAGCCAGGCATGGTGGCGCATGCCTGTAGTCCCAGCTACTTGGGAGGAGGATCGCTTGAGCCCAGGAGTTTGAGGTTGTTGTGAGCTAGATTGACACCACGGCACTCTAGCCTGGGCAACAGAGTGAGACTCTGTCTCGAAAAAAAAAAAGCTACCAATTAATCCGTAAAACAGCAGAGATTATACAGCACATCCAGATTTTAGAAACACTAATGTGAAAAAAAACTTAGATTTTAGAATTGATAAAACACATAATATGTTATGATCTGTTACATACATTTTTAAAAATATGTGTGACAAACACTAGTTCCTAAACAATACTTGTGCTTACTACATTTGATGTACTTTAATATTTTCTACTATATCCCATTTTATACTCATAAAAAGTGCTGGTTTCGGAATATTGACGTCTTGACTGATTATCTGGCCTCAACCTACAGTTTGAACAACACTGGACTAGACGGATTGCCAAGCTTTATGGTGCGATTGTTGTAACCCGGATTTACTTTGGGGCAACCCTGAAGCTCTCCTATATAGACGGCCCTTCATAGCTGCAGGTTCCACATCCAAGAAGTCAACCAACCACAGACTGAAAGTATTTGAAAACAAAAACAATTAGAAAATACAAACAAAATGTACAGTGTAAAAACCGTTTACAAAGCATTTACATTGACTTGGGTATTATAAGTAATGTAGAGATGATTGGAAGTATATGGGTGGATGTCGGTAGGTTATATGCAAACACTGTGTCCTT